ATGTAGGGTATTTGCGACCTGAGCTTTGGCGGACTGATAGCAGCCGAGGCATGAGAGAAGCGTTTGAGGCTGCCGCCATGGTCTTTTTGAAACGCTTGATGCAAGTAGGGTGCTAATTTAACAAACAGGAAAATGAGCGCAAAGCTCACAGCTGTTGGCTCGATAACTTGGCCCAGCATCGTGAGGGCTTGATGGTGTTGTCGATGTCGAGTTGACGAGAGAAGGACAAATACCGCTGAACTCAGATGTGCAGCAGCGGTTGTCAGACAGCATCCTGCGGTTCACAATGTGATAAAAAAGTGCTCGTATTTCGGCGAGCCCGAGCCACTGATTTCGCAGGTCAGCCGATTCATCCGTTGGTGCTGTTCTGGCCCTCTACCCCGGGGCTTGCTATCAATACCTGAACTCGAAGGAAGCAGCATGGTGATAGTTGATCGCCCCAATGCAGCGCCATCACCTCTTGCGGAAAGGTCGGCGGGTCTTGGCCGAATAGTCAGGGGAGCCGACGCCAGCTGAAAGCTCCAACGCTCGCCTAAAGATGCGCAACTCTGGGGCTGCACACGCTACACCGCACATCGGGATAGCTGTTCGGTCTAGGCCCTGCCTAATCGAGAGATCCAGCGGTGCCAGCAGCAGTGGATCACCACGTGTGATGTGGAAACCCCTGTCAACGACCGTCGGTCTGGGTCTAAGACGATCCTCTTAGCCTTGACTTATCGGCGGGGGTAACTCCATGTCTGGATTCTGGGGTATATCTTGCTCCTCCCTTTGCCATAAGGCTGTTCGACCTCATTGATTCTTGCGACATCACCAGACAACTTACCACCAACTCACCAACTCATCTCATCTATCTATCATGAAGTTCTCCAGCCTCTTTCTGCCTACCGTCTTCGTCTCCGCCGTGTACGGCAACGGCTTTGTCGAGAGACGCGCGACCAAGCAATGCAATCCCGGAAATAACTGCCAACGCGGGGTCGGAGGAACAGCCGGCGTGAGGCCTCCTCTGACTAGCCGTCAGGCCGACTGCTCAAGGCTCAATGTCGTGACAGTCAGCCCTTTCACTACGTGAGTGCCGATATTGATGAACAAGTGATCTCAAACTGCCATGCCTGACTCCCTGGCAAACAGTACCACAACCCTCACAACGACCGTCACCATCGTCAACATCCCGAATCCGACAAGCCTCAAGCGTGCCGTGACTCTCCCTACCGCCGGGGTTGCGAAGCGTCAGGATGTCGGCGCCGCCACCATCACGCCCACAGCAGTTCCCACCTACGCGACATACTGCTCCTCCGCCTCGGCCTACTACAGCGCCTGTTCGTGCGCTGGCATCACGGCTGTCACCACCACTCTGCCTACGCCTACCGCGACCGCGTACAGTACCGTCTCGGTCTGCGCCGCCATGAATCTGGCTCGCAGGGCGCTGGAGGGATTTGGCTACGAGGTTGAGCCTGATTTCGACGCCATCAAGTATCCCGGATTCAGACTTATCTGATGAGGTGTCGATAGTGTTCCCAGCAGGCAACACCGGAATTCTAGATAATGAAGCGATGACTACTGCTTTCGATAACATGAAGCCCGTGATCCAACTAGATTTCATCGTCGTTGACATTTCTCCCACAAAAGCTTTCCCAGTTCACTGTGTACAGAAACGATCTATGGAAAGGCCCTCGCAGCGCGTAGCACATCCTTGTTAGTCCAGATTCCAGCAGACTCACACCGCCAATGCTGGTAGGAGCCAATTCAATTGAACTTCGTCTACCCACAGGTATAAGCCTCTGAGCAACAAAATCAGACTCGAATCACAGCAAGGGATTTTACGGCCTGTATTTCGAGTCTTCAAGAGAAGCTTCAAACCCATCAGAAAGAATTCTGTACTGCGCTTGACGGCCACGTCCGAATCTCGATAGGAAGCCAGTGACGAAAGCCATCAGACCAAAATGACAAGCACGTTGAGATGAATCTAATTCGTCCAAGGGGCCACCCGACTTGAGACGTTAAAAGAGTGAGAGGACGAAGGCCTGTAGTCATCGGCCCTCAGCTTGGCAGTTCTCCCGGGAGCGTTTAAAAATGCGACGACGGTCAAAACATCAAGAATGATGGCCATCATTCCGCTGCTTATCCCGTTGTACAGGCTGAGTAGGATGTTGTTACGAAAATTGGCGGTGATTGGCTGCGGAAAAGCCATGTTGGGCATCTCGTCAAAAAAGAATCTTGTCGTGGCTCCCGTTTGCAGTGAGAGTTCGACATCACATCTAAGAGGCTCTAGGATTAGTATAACTGAGCAAGCAGCCAAACAACTGCTTCAAAACACAAGCTGACCTGCCAATCCCATGCAGCATCCCGGGATTACGGTCAAAGATTCGTGGTCCACCTCGCGGTCGGACCGCGATTGAAGTCCGTCGAGATGGGCTGTGTTGACATGAAAATCACCTCTAGTGGTCTCGCGAATCGTGAGCATACAAACCAATGCTATTTTAGTGTCTTCCAGAGCCTCGTTGGTGAAAAGAGTATAAAACCAGTTGCACTTGAGGACCTTATAAGGTTGATAATTGCTGGCGAGGTGAAGGGCGTCGTTTATGATGTGCATGACTAGAAGCATTCTCGGCTTCAATAGTCCAGCGATTGAGGACCTACAAAGCTTACAGTAATTCATGAGAAGTCGTGTATGAGCGGTCCATCTGATGAAAACAAAAAGTAAGTGGGAAGGAGAAAAATATGCATGCGGGGAGACTTGGACGTACCTGTCAGACATGGAAGAGAGACTCTCCTGCTTCAAAGCCTCGAAAAGACAACAGTCCACGATCTTCGTTGCCTGGGGTGTTGTGAAGCCGACAATGACATGTGCGGCGTCACGCCAAACTCGCGCGCCGCCGCCGCGAGCTTGGATAGCAGCAGGATCGCCAGGAGTGCAGTTTCGATGACGATAGCTCGTGCAGGGTTAAAACTGTCGTGTTCGCCGAGTTCGTTCGTTTGTAGCGTGGGTGTCGTGGTTGCGCAATGGCAGGCCCTTGTCGCCCCAGCCTCGTGCTGGTGTGGCAGGACGTCGACTGCCGGAAGGTACCTGCCCGAAATCAGCCTTACATTACCCAAGGTAGTGATGTCGGGTAAGTATATCAGGGCAGAGCCAGATTCTTTCCTCAGATGCGGCAGGAAGGCAGAATGGAATGAACGGCTGGAAGCAGCTGCGGCGACACCGATGTTGGGCGAAACGACTTGCCTGCTGCTTCCGCAGGAACAGTCGAATCGCTCCATTTCGGTCTTATTGTTGCTCTCACTTCTTACTGCCCGGATTCCATCTTTTACACTTCAGGAAGTCGCTCATGGCATTGATTCAGCTGTGGGGAATGGAATGCAAGAGTACATGATTTATGCTGTTCAGGCTTTCTGGCGAACCTACCTAGGTACTTTAGGTACCTAGTTTGTTTATGCCACATGGTCGTATGATGGTCCTCTGACTGGGCATTTTGTCACATCATCAATCCGTTATTCTTGCTCCTTTTGATCTCATTGAATACGCCAAATGGTTTTCTAGTAGTCGGGCCAGACTCAGGCCGGACACACCTCAGGTCCAGGTCTTCCACCCGTTCAGCTTTCCAAGTACTGCCAAGACCAGTGTTCCTTCTTCATACGTGCCTTAGGAAGGTAAGGTAGTCTTGACTTCTTTTGGTGCATCAACCAGCATGGATTGCTTTCAAGGCCATATCGCTGTCAACGGCCGGCTCAGTCGGTCTTGCTGTGATGCATGCCAATTCAGTCGCCCCAAGCCACCGCCCTTGCTGTATGACTCTGTTTCTTCACGTGAACCGCCCTTGAAAGTAGTCATCGCTCCTCAAACGGCAGTCATCCTGGGTTTGTTCTCTCAAGGAAGCTGCCACGGAAGTTTCATCTGATACCAAGGCCATCAAGAATGGGCAGTCATGCCGGCATCAGCATTCGCCGCAGATTTTGGGGAAGAGATACCTGTCGAAGGAAAATGCTATCAGGTAAGGTAAGTACCTAGATAGTTGAGACACTGTCTGGGTATGTCCAGCCCGCTCCCCCTTGTCGTCTTCTACTTGGAGGCTTCTTTTCATCAACACAGGCACAAATACAAAATGTAAGTAAGCTCAAAGAGTACAGGGGGGCATTACTGATACTGAGCACAGGGATTACGAAAACATCGAATTGAAACATCTTTCCCATCCTACGCCATCCTCTCCCGCTTTGGCCGCCCCCCCCAAAGCCAAGTCTGTTGTGGGAGAACCCGCTGCTGGCGGCAGCAAAAACGCCGCCAACACGACCGAGGTCTCCCCCCTCGCCCTCCCGCCAGCCGCAATAGCGGCGATAGCAGCAGCAGCAGAAAAAGAAGCAGCAGCAGCAGCGGCGGCGGCAGTGGAAGAGGCAACAGCAGCAGCAACAGCAGCAGTAGCAGAAGCAGCAGCAGAAGCAGCAGCAGCAGCAGCAGCAGCAGTGGCAGAAGCAACAGCAGCAGCAACAGCAGTATCAGCAGCAGCAGTAGCAGATGCAGAAGCAGCAGCAGCATCAATATTGGCAGCATCACGGCCAATCCCGGCGTCGCCAATCCCCTCCCGCCCCTCCACTTCCCCCCTCTGCCAGCCAGCAGCAAATGGCCCGGCATCCCCCCGCCGCCTCCCCCCCTCCGCGTCCCTCCCCCAGCGCTCTTCCGGCACCCCCGGCGCCGAGAACCAGCCTACGGGAGGGGGAGGAGGAAAAGAGTCAGGATGCCAATGTTGGCCATGGTGGGTGTGGCTCTCATAGGCGGGGGCCACCCCACCGGGGGAGCGCTTCAATTGGAGCGTGTTTTGGGCGATGGGAGGGTTTTGGGTGATGGTGTTAATTGCGCTGGTGGGATGGTTTCATTTTAAATAATCTATATATGATTCCTTTTCGCGCACAGAGTGTGCCTGTGCGTCGGTGGTGAAGCAACAGATGCGACTAGATGTCTTGTTTGCGGAGAGACAATGAAATGGCTGATCCAGGCTTGAACACAGACTTCTGACTGAACGGGCAAATGGTATTGCTTGACTAGTATGACTACCTTACCCGGTGTTCATCACAGTCTGATCTTTTTCAGACAATCTTTTTCAGACAATCTTTGATCCTTTCCAGCCTCGTCTTAGAATGTTTGGCAGCCTCCGCGGGGGGTGTAAAAACCTGTCTGCTTTCTTCGAAAAGACCGCTGATGGGCATGTGGCCGCCATCGTCGGGAGTCTGCGTCGGATTCGTGCTGTCCAGTGCCGGGTCGTGAGGGCTAATATCCTGCCAAGCCACGACGAGAACACGTTTGTCGCCAATCCACTGGCCCACTGTGTATTCGAGGTGACAGTCGCGACAAAAGCCGGACCTGATTGGAAGCTTGCTTGTTTGTACAGAGCCGTGGGGGGTGCAGAGAGCAGCCTTCATACGAGACGTGATGCTAGTCGGGTCCAGTAACGCATCTGCAACGTTGTGCTGAAATCCCACATGGGTACAAAGCTTGATAGCTTTGAGATCCGTAACAGTTATGACTCGCTGGTCGGCAGGCGTATACGTCCACCTGTACTTGATTAGGAGTTTGGTTGTGCTGGTGCCCGATTTCTGCTGCTTAACGACGCGTGGTGTCACTTTTAGCGTAAGTGGTAGGTCGCCGCCCTGAATTTGAAAGGTGGCAATCCTTAAAAGATGGCGGAGGTGGCGCCGGGCCTCGAAGTCGAGCATATCAAAGTGCTGAACGTTCCGCAGGATGATCTGTTTGTGATGGTCTTGGAGATTGTAGTATCTCGCAGCCACTATGCTGCTTATTTCGACTCCCCGATAGAAATTCGGGTTCTTCCAGTGGCACGAACTATAATTTTTGGAGGAGGTCGGAAGGTCATTTGCCGAGATGGGATGAGAACAGAGACAGTGTTCGCAAAACCACCGATTCGTGCTAATATACCAAGCTGGGTCATGTTGCTGGGGTGGTTGCATGTCCGTACATCCTTCGTCAGGCATATGGCCTGCGTCAGATGAGAGACCAGTGGTCTTGGGCTGCTTCATGTTGTCCGTGGGTAATGAGTACCGCCTTTATAGAGCCTTTATGGGGTAGCGGTGAGGAAATGTTTTCCACAATGGGAAAGGGGTTGCCATGTTTAAATACCTTAAACCCGGATTTGATATTTCGTGGTGGCGTCCGGTACTGACATCAAGGTTGCGCCCATCTACGCATCAAGGTTACGATCCAGGCCATTCATGCGCAACTTTCGCAACGGGATAATGACACTGCGCCAAGTGCCTGCCATGACTGAGGACATGAATGATCATCTCACATGCCATCCAAATGGAGCCGGGTTTGATGCCTCTTTTTGGTGTAGCGACATCCGTTGCGATAATAATGGGATCGGGTAAACAGTCCGGTCACCAAGTGGGATGCTGGATAGACGTGGAGTGCCTCCGCTGTCGCGACTCACGCCCACGGCGCCCCGAGCTGATGGAGCCGGCTGGAAGGTGGAGGCAGAGGGCAAAGCCCACGATCGAGGCCTTTTAGGTTGCCAAACATAAGCCCACCAGCCGGGGCCGAACGACACCCCGAGTTAATAACTCACAGACTTCCGAGTGGTCTAATGGTCGTATGTCTCTCTTCCATCCTTCGCCTAAATCACCGCTAACCAATCATAGTAATGGTTATGACTGCGGATTCTGATTCCGCCAGCCCAGGTTCGATTCCTGGTTGGACCTACATAGTTTTTTCTTTTGTGTAACTTCATTTCAAAAGAGACCCGGTTTGTGCATCCGCTTACTTTTGCTCATTTCCATTTCCCTTAGTCAGCATGCATTTCCCCGCGGAGCATCTGCCCTCTCCTTGAAGTGTACCAAGTGCTCATATGCGAGCGACGAGTTCAGTGTGAATTCTCCACAGCCGCCGATCGTGCCAATTGGTCATTCCGCTTAATGATGGTCTTGTGAAGCGTCCCCACGAGGGAGGGTCAAGGTCGCTTACTGAAGTCCCATGCTAGCGACTGGGGCATTGTACGAGTCCACTATGATAAACATAGACGCAGCGCGATGTGACCTTCACCAAACGTACAGACCGACCAAGGCGCCGACCAACAAACCATGCACTCGCTCCTGCGAGATGCCTGCTGCCGTGTCTTGAACCCACGCTCCTCGATCTTCCCACACTGATTTCTGCCCTTGTCGTTGGCCCCTTCTTAAGCGCCGTCTGTCTCATGCCGTCGCGTGCTCGGCAAAGCCTGACGAGCCTGTCACACCCAGAATTAGGCACAACGGCACACCAGAGCCCATACCCGACCCTTGTAAGCCACAGGGCTGTACCGGGCTGTGGAGAGAGGGGCTCAGCTACCTCGCAGTATTTCCTTGAGGGATCAGGATCCCGGGCTTGAGATGTCCCATTGGCCAACAGCCGATGAACGACCCCTGAAGCTGGCGGGAAATGCAGTGCACCAGTCGACCCTAGAGCAGCACCAAGTGCTGCAACCTGGCACAAGAAGCTTAGGCGGATCTTTGGGCTGAACCGTCGGCAGGGGTAGAATTATCGTGGAAAGTAAGACGGGAAATGAAGAGCCGTATAAGGGTCACTGGAGCTCATTATTCTTCGTCGAGCAGCTGTCACCCACCATCTCTGTCTTGTTGTCCCACCTCAACTACCAGTCTCTCGCCTCTTTGAAGGTTCTCTACCAACGAGTCTCGCACGCGTACCTTAGGCAAGCGGCAGCAGAATCCCTGGACGAAACCACACCTCAGTCACCTCAAGCAAGGAAACTCGCGACCATGGGCCAGCACAATGTCGGCGACACCTCGCCTTTTCTCAAGCGCATCTTGATCCCCTTCTGGTGCGTTCGCATCTTTGTCATGGCCATCAACGTCGTCGTGTACATCCTCGCCATCAGCGTCGTGGTTCGCTACAAGGACGACATTTCCCACTTCGAGACCGAATTCGGCACGAACCTCTCGCCCAACGCCGTCATTGCCATCTGGGTCGTCATCATGATCATCCTCGCCCTCTGCTTATCGCTCGACCTTGTCGCCATCATCAAGCGCGCGCGAAGAAACCTGTCGCCCAAGTTCTTCCTCATCATCAACGTCATCCAGACCTTCGTCTGGACCGTCCTGTTCGCGCTGTCCTTTGTCGGCGCGCGCGCCAGTGCCGCATCCACGGCCATCGCTGTCATCATCTAGTGAGTCGCATCCCTCGCCTGCCCCACCCACCTCCTTTCCTCCCCTGGCCCTTTGCTAACCAGGTGCCCTTCCAGCCTCTCCTTTGTCGGCCTCCTCATCTACGCCGCCATCATCTTCCACAAGGACCGCAAGGGGACCCTGCAGTACGCCCCCGCCGTGAACCCCGCCACCGGCTACGAGCCCCACGCCCCCCAGCCCAACCTCAACTACCAGCAGAGCGGCGCCTACCAGCCATACGCACAGCAGACGCATGCCCAGGGCGGCGCCCAGTATGCCGGCCAGGCGTACGGCCAGGACTACAACAAGCCGGTGTACGGGCAGCACCCCGAGTCGCACGAGCTCAGCCACCAGCCGCGGTACGCGTGAGCGGCACCATCCACGAAGGGTGCTCTGTTGATAGACGGGAGAGAAAGGGGGCTTTTGCTGAGGGCGATATACCAGGGGCGTTGCATTGCGAATGATCTTGATGACTGGCTTTGCTTTTATTCCCGCCCTTCCTGTGGTGTACATGGAGGGGTAGCGATGATTTGGCTTTTCTATAATGAGAATTTTACTTGTGTCATGTTCGAACCTCGGCCCAATCGGTATTGTCTGGCTTGGGTTCGGCAGTGATGTGAAGTCGACTCCAACTCGATTGACTTTGGGTACCACCGGGCCAATCTGACTGCACGTGCTGTCTGGTCTTGTGGAAGGATTGGAGGACGATGGCCAAAACTCACGTCAGCGACTAAGTCCGAAATCTTGTGTTTGGCAAGCTCGAGGCGCTGATCATCCCCAATGACGATGCAGACCAGGACAGCTAGCCTCTTCACGCCAGCACGAGACGCGAAGACAGGGTGCGTAAGATGGGCATCTCGAGACCCCTGATTGAGCGAGTGCTGGAGAGCGGAGTGTCAGCATCGTTGCGTCGCTTACCACAGGTACGAAGGGGGTCACTACATTGGACTCGACGATATGCATGTCAGACTCCCGTGGCTCTTATGAAGGGGTCAGCCTGTGTATATAACCATCGCCTTTCTCAAGGTAAGATCCAGAGTGGTACAAGCTTGGAAGGCAAGCACGGTCGGAACAATCGTGCTTTGACAGAGAGAACACTGCAAGCAACAGCCAACATGGCATCCATAGTCGAGAAGCGTGGGGACACGATCATCTACCGCGCACCGAACTCGGTGGACATTCCTAGTCTCGACCTTTTGTCGTTTCTCTTCGAAAGTTAGTTCTTTTCGTTCATGTCAGCTTTCGAAACTTGCTGAAGAGGATACAGATCCCCAGAATGACAGGCTCAGGAGCGACACCATCCTTCACGCCGACGCTGCTAATCCCAGCCGCAACGTGACAATGGCGCAACAGATCAGCCACCTGCAGAGGCTGGCCCACACGATCCGAACACAGTAAGGTATTCGCGACGGTGACGCCGTTCGTGTCATCTTGACCGGCCACATCCTGTGCCCATCAGTCTTCCTCGGCATCATAGCCGCCGGCGCGACTGTCGCGTGCTCACCAGTAGACATAGCCAGGCAGGTTGCCATGACGGAGAGCAAGCTGCTCATCTGCAGCCCTGACATCAAGGCACTTGCCGGGTCTGCCGGCGCACTCGCAGGCCTACCCGAAGATCGATTCACATACTTTGGGGACAGCGAGGACGTGGAACTCTACCAAGTCGAGTCAAGCACGCAGATCCACGTCTCCTCAGATGAGCACAGCTGACCCGTGTCACAGACATGGAAATCCTGCAAAAGACGACCACCTGCATTGTCTAGACCGGCGGCACGACCGGCCCCCCGAAAGCGACCCCCATCTCTCACGCCAACATTGTCGCCTCCGTCTTCCTCTTCATGGAACCCTTCCGGCACGACCCGAAGCTCGAATTCCGCACTGTCGCGCACGTCCCGACAACGCATCTCTCGGGCATCCAGGGCTATATCACGTTGCAGACTTACGTCGGCGGCACCGTCTTCTGGATGACACGGTTTGACTTGCCGCAGCTCGTGGCCCACGGCAAGCGCTACAGCGCCACGATGCTCCTAAGCCCGCCGCCCGTCTGGCTCGCCATCGCCAAGGCGCCCTTTGTGACAGACCAGCTCAGCACGATGGTCGTGGGCTTCTCGAGCGCCGCGCCGATGGGCGCCGAGGTACAAAATGCGGCGCAGCGCAAGCTGGGCGGGGGTCAACTGGGGCAAGTTTGGTAGATGAGTGAGGCTTCAGGACCGATGACAGTACTGCCGCTGAACGAGAGGGGCGCGAGCGGTAGCCTTGCCATGCTCGTCGCCAATAGCGAGATGCGCATCGTCGACGAGGAAGTGAGGGACGTCACGCCTGGAGTGACGGGCGAAGCGTGGGTACGAGGTCCCTGTCAGAGCGTTGGTTAGAGCAGAGTGAAGAGGTCTTCCACACGGGGTCCGCAGCAGATAGAAGATAGGTAGGAAGTCGGAATACATCTGAGTTCTGGCCCTCCGCAGCTTGGAGGGCCCTCCGCAGCCTATATATACTTTTCTCGTAGCCCTTAACCCCCCGCCGACCCCCTGCTTGGCGACTCCGCAGGGAACCCGCAGGGTCCCCTGACAATAGTTTGGCCCCGCGGTCGATGGCGGTAGGCCCCGAAGCCTCATAAGTACCATTACAGTCAATATGCTTCCTATACCGCAGTTACTAGTCCATGATGGCATCTGGATTCTTGTCTGTGCTGTTGGCTGGATGGCCTGTTTGTCGTGAAGGGGGTATTGTCGATGCATTCCGTCATCCGTGAGAAGCGGACGACGGCGATTTCTCGGCTTCAAACGTTGCGCCACTTCGCTTTGCCCACGCCAGGGTCCTGCCTATGATGACCTGGATCCCTTCCCGGTTCAATTGTGCCGATGGTCCGACTACCCATCATGTGTAGTCATCGACGAACCTGATTGCATCACTGGATGTGAGGATTTGATCCGGGCAGCGCTTGCAATCTGAACCTCGAGATGGGATATCAAAAGAGTACAAGAAATCCCGTTAATTGTTCAGTTAATGAAAGACTATAGCTAACAAACTGAGCGGCAAAGACCTAATTGATAGCAGTACCAAACCTAGAACAAGTAGAATGAATGGTTCTCGCAGGTGCAAACAAAAAAAAGTGAAAAAAAATAAAGATTCGTCTCCAGATAATAGTACTAACCAACACAGGCCTGTCACCCGAAAGCTGGGCTCGACTAGCAAGGCTGTCTTTTCCCGTCCGAGCCAATATAGTAGTACTTCTGCTGAGACTCAGAGTAGTAATATGGCACTCCATTGTCGAAGTACCCTGACGGTTGCTGTTCGGGTTTGCCGGTGCCTTGATTCTCGCTGCTGCTACCATGGCTCCTGCTGCTGCTACCGTGGCTCTTCTGCGTGTACGGTTTGGCCATGGCATTGTCGACAGCCGTCTTCATCGTGGCTGATCCGTACTTAGTCTTGGAGGTTGATTGAATGAGATACGACTCGAATCCATTGGCCGTAATGTCGTTTGCTGAGTACACATGTACGATTCCTCTCACGAAAGGCGGCTCGGATGCCCACAAAGCAGACGAGGCTGGTTTAACCGTCATGTGGACTCTTTCATTAGGCGATATGCTAGACAGGTGTTGTTGCTTACTATATAATGTTAGCTTCTCACGCGATCAGGCATACAGTGAAGTCGCCAGGCTGTAGTTTCTTACATCATCACCAAGACATTGCATGGCTGGGACTCAGAGAGCGGATTTCTACCGTTTACATCCTGTCTTTTTATTAGTCGACGTGGGGTAGCAAGAACGATGAACTGGTAACACCTTGACTCCCCTATTCCATGCCGTGGCGAAGGCCCGAAGAACCTCTACCTGATTGTCCAGGTCTGCCCGTATTTCGTCCACATCTTCCCGTTTGTCAAGAAGAAACAATAACAAAAGTGGTGTACCATCGTAGTCGGTCGTGTTGACGTGTCCCTGACTAGACATGGTGCTAAAGTTGAGATTATCTGAGAAGAGACCCGGCCTCTCGTGCTGTGCAGAGAAGATGAGAACGGAGTCTGTGGTGGGTAGTAACTTCAAACGGCCAGCTGCCAGGCTGGGGTTTATATAGCTTTCTGACGTTGGTTGCGGCCAGCCAGTAAAAAGAAAATGGGTAATAGGTACAGTGATGCTATTCAGTCGTAAATCCCAACGTGCCTCCAACGGTAGCCGCTGCTATCAGTTCCATGTGTTTAATATGCTGAGCAAGACCAGGGTGGCATGGTTCAACTGAAGGGGTGAGAAGTAAAAGGCCCTGAAGCGCGCGGCAAAATTAATGCCCCCACTGGCGAGGCGGCAATCAAATACAATTCCCCCATCCTGACCGTTTCATCCCTGGGATGTGTGGGTTCGAAGATGTCCCGTGGCCTGCACTTAATTGCAGTCAGGAATGTGTCGGCTCTTGCAACCCTCAAGAGAGGCTATGCTGGGTTGGAGAAGGGTATCATTGGTCAAATGACGAAGGGTCAGGAGCTGTAGAGCTAACTGGTTACGGGGTTCGGCAAAGCCTTGAAGGGGGGCACCTGGAGCCGCCAGCGGCTCGTTATAAAAACGATATGCGTAACTCGCGCCTCCACTCTCCTCATTCGAATGAACGATTGGCGGCTAATCTCTGCCGCTCGACACCGCTCTTTGTCGATCGCCCTTTCCATCCCCCCTTCTTTAAAAGGTCCACAGAATCCTCTTTCTTGCATCAAGCCATCCTTTGAGCGGATGCTCCGCGGTGATTGAATCACCCGTCCCTCTACCACGATGCCGCCCACGCAGCAAGATCTATTTTTTTACAACGGGGACGGCATTGGAGTTGAAGACCTAGCCAAGTACAAGCCTGGCGGACTCCATCCCATCCTTCTCGGCGATGTCCTTCCGAAGCGTGGCAGTTGCATGAATGACGACGCTAAGCAGCCAAGATACCGGATCGCGCAGAAGCTTGGGTTTGGGGCATTTTCTACCGTTTGGCTAGCGCGTGATCTCAACGAGAAGTAAATCTTGACCTTCAAGATCGCAAGCACCGGCTAACAATCAATAATTGATTGACAGAAGATATGTTGCTCTCAAAGTCTGCAATGGATCAGATGAACTCATTCAGAGCAACGAAACAAGAATTCTCAGTCAAATTCACCAGATTGGACGCGGAAAGCCAGGCTACAATAATGTGGTCGAAGTATACGACATCTTTACGATACGGGGCCCGAATGGATTCCATGAATGTCTGGTAACGGAAGTCGTTCTACCCCTCGATAGCATGTCTATCCAACAGAAATGTCCGCCTCACAAAGCGATTGAACAAGTATTGAGGGGATTTGATTTTCTACACAACGAGGGCCTGGTACATGGAGGTAAAGCGTAACCCCAAGGACTAAATCCTGAACGTGAGCAGTTACGGGTTTATTGCTAACGGCTGGTGTTTAGACCCCCATTATGCTAACTTCAGTATCGCAATACCACAATTACAGCAGTTTGATGAAGGGACGATAGCAGATTACTTTGCAGACCCTGCTGTTATAACAGTGGTACCACGTGACCCATCTTTTCCAATGGACTCAATACCGAGTTACGTTGCCGAAAGTGTCTCCTTAGGAGCATTTCTTTTAGATCAGCACTCTTTCCCCTCAAGCGAGGAGATCTGTTTGAAGATCTTGGATTTTGGACGAGGTAGGCCAATGTCTCGCACGTATTGTCCAGCCCGTTACTAATAGGTCCGTGTCATCATTAGCCTCCTGGGCAAATAAAATTCCCAAAGACCTACCAGGTGCTGCTCCTCCCACGATTCGACCGCCCGAGGTCTATATTTATACATTATCTGATGGAAAATCCGGATCCATCTGGAGCAAAGAAGCGGACATCTGGGCAATTGGGTGTATTGTAAGTTATTTTGTCCAATACTACGTCATACACGTATTAAAAGGGTTGAGCAGGTATACCAGATCAAAACAGGATGTCCACTACTGCTAGTCCAAGGTGATTCCCAGTATCAATTTTACCAAGCTTTGCGGCTAGGAGGGGCACCACCGAAGGAATGGTCCAAATTTTGGGACTTAGAGACATTTTGCGAGAGTACCAAGAGCTGGAAACAGCCCGTACCACCCTTCTTTGATACAGAGCAGGCCTGGGAGTCTCGTCGACCAAAATTCGACCCGGGGAGTGACCTGTTCCTCGATCTGATCCGGAGGATGGTCACGACCGAGCCTACGAGACGAAGTCAGATCACCCAGCTCCTTGACCATCCATTTTTCTCCCATGTGGGTCTTGCGGAGGAATGATCGTGGGCAACGTCCAGCTTCCTTGCACATATTCAAAGGACGGTACTCTTTGTTTCCGAACACAGAAACCGCCGACATACAATGTACCGTTCAGTCGAATCGATCACAGTGCCTTGCGACCAAGTTCGGAGTGGCCGCTGCCAAGAGGATCAGAGGAGCGACACCTGCCTCCTGAACCTTCCTGTATCGACATTGACTATCAAGACGGCCGATGACAAGCTCTTTCGCCATTTTTGCAGTGCTGTGTAGCCAGTGCCTGTCTCCTTCGAAGACATGGAGGACCTTGCAGCGGAGGAGCTAATGCTGGGGGGCTTAATGTCGTAGGTGGAATTCTTTCATTCGATACGAGGCGATAGGCTGAATGGGTGCGCGGAGCCTAAACTCTCCAACTTCTGGTATAGCCGTGCCGTGCTACATCATGGACCACTTGGGCTTTGAAAGAAACTATGAGTCGTTGCAACACTACTTCGACGACGCCTGCTCGACGGAGGAGAATCTTAACAGACCTAGTTTTCTATTCGACCTTGACATGAGGCCTAAAGCTGGCAGCAGTGAAAACATTATGCGCGAAGCATTTTCACGAGCACAAGTATTGGAGGATAGTATATAGGAGGCTATTAGAACATGAGCCTTGAGCTTTGTGCCGGAATGCTCCCAGAGTACATAGTCGTAGTCTTGGGGACTGCACAAGAGTGGTTCAGCTCCAGCATATTGTTGATACTGAATGGACCAAGTTTTGCATCTTATCCCGGCCGAGGCGGCATTCTACCTCTGTTAACATTAGTCAAGTCATTCATAGAGGGCTTCACGTGTCACAACGCAAGTTGGGTTCAGGGTGTTCGGCATCTGGGAATGAGGCCGCCCAAACGGCAGGATAAAAGATGGCTAGGCGAGGACTGTCCTAGATTCTATTGTCGCGAAGGTAGAGAACGATGGCTGCCTCGCTTTTCAGTTCCAAGCGGACATGTCATCAAGCAAGAGTGGTAGGGTGGCACCCAGCGGGTAAGCCAAGGCGTTTCAGCTACAGCTGGAAGGCGTGCTGAAGAGATTCTTGTTAACATGAAGAAGACAAACGGTGGACAATGAACAAGCGATACTGCAGTGCTAGGCGAGCGAAGAGTGACGGGCTGGAGTGGCGTTCTCTGGGGCCAGGCCCATCGTCATGCATCATGGACCAGCCGATTTATGCTTAAGGGCTCCACAAAGTTCCCAACGCAGGAGGAGCTACGTGATCACACATGTCACTATTAAGCCCGCAGGTGGGTGTATTCGTTATCGAGCATGTAGCGGACGGCGCTCATCTTGAAGCCATGGCGCATACAATGGCGATAGGGTAGTCTTCGTAAGACCTCAGGCTCGGAGATGCTTGTGGCATGGTGGGAAAATTGGGCGGTATGGCTCGGTTCCATGGGCTCAGTAGCTTCCTTGTGCGGACGGACCATTCGGCACCGGTGCAGGTCGCCGGCTATCGTGACAATGTGCTGTGTGCCGTTGGGTTGTTGCGTGATTGAGACAGCGTGAGACGCAGGAGATACCCGCCCTCCCCCACGAAGGGCCTCATAACGCTTACGCCTGATATTATCAGTTTGTTGATATAGGCTCCACGGTACCTTCGATTACTATTAAATCTATAAGTTGAGCGAAGTACTATAGCTAAATCCGTATATATTATAGGTTATCAGTTATGATTCGAATAGCTATACATCACGATTCTACTATAGCGCTCTCGGATCTTTATTATATATCCCTATACCCGAGACCGTTCTAGCCTTTGAAGGGATAGCGATTTTAAGGAATAACTTCTATATCCCCCTAAGCTAAATAGGTTTTGAATAAATAGCGAAGATATAATAATATAGATTATCTATAACTATAAAGCACTGAATAAAAGCTAAAGCGAATTAATAAAAGATCTATATTCTTTAGATCTAAATAAAATAGCTAAAGAGTATATAATAAAGGAACTAGGAGAATTAGTAGATATATTAATCTTAGTAACTAAGAGGTATAACTCTTTAAGAGGATACTACTAATCGAGGTAATCCCGATTGACAGAACTATATATACTAACTAAGGAGGCCTATAATAAGTAAAGGGGCGAGCTTATCTTATAGAATAGAGTTATTACGAGTACTCTATAATAGCTAAGGGGGGTATTCCCTAATATTCCGGCCCCCTGTCTCGCTAGGGACTATCGAGCACTAAAATACAGTAGGCTAAGAGGAGGGAGCGGATTACGTAATATAGCTCAACCTATATCAGCTACTCCTTAGTACCTCATAGAGCTTAGCGAAAACAACTATACTATTGTCACCCCTAAATGCACTGTTATCACTAAGCTCAACAGTCTGGGGCCTTGCCACATGTGGCCTAGTAAGGGATGATCTCGAATTGGCCGTGGCGGTGCCCCTCGTGATGACTAACCGAAACACCAAGACCCCAGATCCGCATCGGATTCGCGGAGAGCGACGACGGATGGACTCCAGGGACACGCAATTCCGCAAGCCCGCCAGCTCCAGCCTGGATACCTTCATTGACTACACTTTGGCCTTCTGATTGATCATCTCGGGGGTACATGATACCAGCTTGATTGCGACAGTTCTTTTGCTACCTTTGTGTTTGTCCTGTCGTAGCAGCGTCGATGGCCACTTGCATTGTCATTCCCTTGTAACATCCAACGGCAGCAAGGGCGAAAGAGGCCTCTCGATACTTTGTATCTCCGAACCCTCTTACCCCCCCCCTTCTTCCGACAATCATCGCATTCACCCACCCTAGTCTATCCTTTGAATGGATGTTCATACGCAGAACTCCTGAAGCCCCTTACGCTCGACACTCGACATATTTATTCCCTTCCCTGGACACAAACACCGACGCCAGCCATGCCGAACGATCGCGACCAACGGTACGATGCCGTGCCGCCAATCCCGAGCTACGATGAGGCCATGTCCAACCTCAACCACGCAGACTGGCCACCGCCAGCATCACCGAACCCCGAGACCGAATTACATGGGCTCTTAAGCTCCCACAACAACGCCGCCTCGTCGTCGTCATCGCGACGAACCACCAGCTACCGAGAACCGACCGTAGAGACGGATGACGAGGACAGCCTGTTCTACAGCAGCGATGACGGCGACGAAACAGCCTACGTGCGGCGGGAGATGCAGGAGCTCGAGATGGACGACGCCGGCAACGCAAGACCCTCCCTATGGGGCAAGAGAATCCCCTTCTCCTTATCACTACCAAATTGGAAATGGTCCTGGCGACCGCGCTTGCCAAGGTTGCGACGCACCGTCATGCTGCCCCAGCGCCCGGCTTCCGACCCTTTGACGACAACAAACGACGGCGACGCGAGCACAGAGCAGGAGACGGCGCGGCCGCGCTTCCAGTGGCCCAACCTCGAGGGCGCCAACGGCAAGCATGCGGCCATTATACTGGTGCGCATCTTTGCGGGCTTCCTCGTCATGTCCTTTGTTTACTTGATCTTCATGAGCGACATCTTCTCGACCATGGCGCGCAGGTTTGGCACGGGCCTGCGCTTCGACCCGGAAGACGTGCGCATGTGGGTGCAGGGCCATGTCGAGAACGCCGCCATGCTCAAGACGGTCAAGCACTACACAAGCTTTGCTCACATTGCCGGCACCGAGGGCGACTATGGCTACGCCATGGACATGGAGACCATGTTCCACAGGGCGGGCATGGACTTTGTGCACATTGACCAGTACGACGTCTACCTGAACTACCCCAAGGCGAACGGCAGGGCGGTGGAGATTCTGGACGAGGCAGGCGAGAAGGTGACGTGGAAGGCCAAGATGGAGGAGAAGGAAGTCGGCGGCGAGATTGCAGGACACCAGACCTTTTCGTTCCACGGCCACTCGAAGGCTGGTGACGTCAAGGGCCCCCTCGTGTACGCCAACTACGGCTCAAGGGAGGACTTTGCGCTGCTGAAGGACAAGGAGATCATCACGGAAGGAGCGATTGCTCTGGTGCGGTACTACGGGTCGCAACCGAACCTGGCCTTGAAGGTGAAGGCTGCCCAGGATGCCGGCTTTGTAGGATGTCTGGTGTACAGCGACCCTGAGGACGACGGGTTCAGGCAGGGAGACGTGGCGCCAGCCGGCCGCTTCATGCCTGAAGATGGCGTTCAGAGGGGATCTGTCAGCTTGACGAACATGGTCATCGGCGACGTCCTGACGCCTGGATGGGGCAGCAAGGAGGGCCTTCCACGGATGAAGGTGGGTCAGACGCCTGGTCTTGTGTGGATCCCAAGCTTGCCACTTGCATGGCGAGATGCACAAGTGCTGCTGCAGCACCTCAAAGGCGTGGGCCAGAAGGTTCCTGAGGAGTGGAAGGGGGGTGTGCCCAATGTTGAAGAATGGTGGACTGGCAACGCCTCTTCGCCGATCGTGCGTCTGAAGAACGAGCAGGACGAGGAAAAGAAGCAGCCGATCTGGAATGTTTACGGCAAGATTGAGGGTATCGAGCAGTCGGAGAAGACGATCATGGTCGGCAACCATCGCGACGCCTGGGCCTTCGGAGCAACAGACCCCCATACCGGCACCGCCATTATGATGGAGGTTGCGCGACTCTTCGGCATCTTGCTGCTAAAGGGCTGGCGCCCACTGCGAACCATCGAGTTCATGTCTTGGGACGGCGAGGCCTACAACATGATTGGATCAACCGAATTTGTCGAAACCCACGCGGACAAGCTGCGCGAAAATGGCTGTGCCTACATCAACCTCGCCGGAGCTGTTGCTGGCAGCGAGCTCCACGCTTCCGGCTCACCCGTGTTCCAGTCCGTGCTGAAGCGGATTCTCGAGCGCATCGAGGATCCCCACCACAACATGACGCTGCGGGAGCTCTGGGACAAGCGAGGGGGGAAGATTGAGGAGCCGAGCGTCCGCGGTGACTCTGTGCCGTTCCTGGACATTGCAGGCACCAGCACTCTCGACCTAAGCTTCCGTGGCGACCCACACCCGCAATACTCTAGCTACGACAATTTTGACTGGATGAAGCGCATTGGCGACCCTGGATTCGTGTATCACGGACTCATGGCCCAGGTCGTCGCTTTCCTATGCCTCGAACTGGCTGACCGCCCCATCATGCCTTTTGACATGGAGGCCTACGGCGTCAAACTTGACAAGTGGGCCGAGGAGCTGACCGAATGGTCAAAGGAGAAAATCAAGGCTGCCGGCCAGGAAAAAACCTTCTCCATTGATCCCATTAAGATTGCCATCCACGACGTCAAATCTGCGGCCAAGACTTTCTCTCGCTGGGAAAAGACATGGGACAGCGTCGTCATGGGCGGCGGCGGCTGGGAGTCGTCCGGCATGAACACGAAGCGCATCGAGTACAACACGCGCATGGCGGGCTTCGAGACGGCACTCCTCGACATTGAACAGGGCGGCGGTGTAAGTCATTTGCGTCCTTTCATTTTTTGCTCTCCGTTACTGACACCGAATCTCTTGCAGATCCCCAACCGCACGCAGTTCAAGCACGTCGTCTTCGGACCCCAGGCCTGGTCCCATACGAAACAGGTCACGTTCCCAGCGATCCGCGACGCCATTGAGGACGCGAACTGGGAGTTGGCGCACAAGCTCGTCGAAAAGACGTCAGTCCTGATCCGCAACGCCGCGAAGGTGCTGCTCGATCAGCAAGCCGACGAGGTGCCGGGGCGGTGAGGGCAGGATCAAGAGGATTACGGGAACGACGCCACGCTTGATACATTACACATACCACACACTTACTA